ATCCTAAACACGGCAGCTTGTTTTCAGAGCGCATGCCTCCGAACAAAAGATGCTCAAAGCTGGATGGGCGTGTGTGAATCAAAACTGCGCAACGCTTCCTGTCCACGGAACCGGTTGTTTCTTTTTTGACCGACCGACGACTGTTCGGCAGATCTACCGGTTTTCTCCACCGTCCGTCGTCGGTCGGTTCGAACTCTCCGTCCGGAGGGGTCGAAGGTCTGTCGGTCGCTTGCACGCGACAGAAAGCACCAAGAATCCTGCAAAACAGCTGGAATACGGAGACAAACCATGACAAACCTATTGTTCTTCACCGGCATGAATACCAATATTCACCAAGTCTCAGGTCTCAGTTGGTGTTCCAAATTGCTGTCGACACTGTGGACGCTGCGAAGGATCGGCAGATGACCCTTGGGTGGGCGCCCAGTGCGCTCAGGTCATTTACTCCTCCATCATCAAGGGATTCGCCCAGGCCAAGCAGGCGGAGAAATGTTTTAACACCCTGGAGGAGATGGAAGCTCAAGGATTCTTGGCTGCTTGGAGCTGCTGTTCGGACGCATCGATGAAACTCGTTGAACAGTTAGATTGCTCGGAAACATGGGTGAGATGCTACAGGACTCAGGTTAAACAAAAAAAGAACAGCACTGTTCTGAGGTGATTTCGCAGGCAAGACTTGACAGCAACGGTTGTAGCTATATATAACTATGTATCTAATATTTATAAATATATAAGGTGTTTGGAAAAGAATGATTGCTTGTCGTTGTAGGGCGTTTGTCGCAAACTACACTCACCCAAGGCCATTGTCAGATGACCATGAAGCAATAATAGCAGAGCCAGCAATGTGGAAGGATGTCATTTGGGGCATTCTTGCAGTCGGAGAGGATCTTCAGGTGTGAACAGTCAGTCATTACCCCCAGAAATCTGATCGCGGCATGCTTGAGGAATCCCTGGCAATACCATCACCTACAACACCTTGCTGGATGCTTGCGCAAAGTGCAGCGCTATGGCACGCGTGCCCGCCATCTTTGAGAAGATGAGGCACGGAATATTCGGAGAAGCATGTGGCAATTGGTTGGTGGTGGACAGGCTTCAAAAGAATTGTTGATAATGGTGGGAAGACATATATAGAAACGGTGTTTGTCCGTCCATGGTTTCCAGCTTTCCAACTCAAAGACCTGGTACTGGACTGTTTCTTTGGATGAGATTACCATCTAAGTCCAATCTCAGTGCTTGCCCTGAGGCAGTGTGATGTGGAGCCAGACCGCATCACCTACTCTACATTGATCAAGGGCTACTGTGTGGCAGGCCATGAAACGAGACAGATGCCCTGTGCTTCCCATATCTACAAAGCAGGTCAATGGTCATCATACTCCGACATGATTCACCGAAGGCATAGTGGCATAGAGATACATAGAGATACATCCGTCCGTGTCGATGTACTGGGCTAAAACTCCGATCGAACCGTCCCAGTCGCTTGATTAGGTGAGCTGGATTGTGCTTTCAAGCTTTTTGAAGAGCTGAAAGCAGATGGAAAGCTCGACCTGGATGAAATTGTTCGGCAACTCAGTCAGATCTTGCCACCAAAGGAACTAGGAGGCCGTGCCTCGTGGGCTGGCGACCAGCCGGCCACAAGAGCGGCCCATGTGTTCATTAAAGCATAATGGGCTGAAAGGCGGGGGAAAGAAAAGTGAGCAGGCAGGAACCAGAGAGTACCGCTAGGCAGAGAATGCGCACAGCTGGTGTCGAGTCACGTCGAGTCGAACACACAGAGCTGGTTTCTTGATGTTTCTTGAGTGTCTTATTTGTCCAATTCCAGATTTGCTTCCCTGCACGTGCACTTGTGTTTATGCCGTTTTTCATGAGGTCTACAATTCCTTGCTTGATGGCTGCAGCCGAAAGCAGAAACCCCAGAAGGCTATGGAGTATCTTGCACTCGGATTGGTTTCGTGATGTTTCGTTGCTCATTGGGCACCAATCAATATTTCACGTGTTTCGCAACTGCAGCATCGACATGTGCAAACCCCAACAGCCTGAAAATGGAGCAGACAGGTGTTCTCTCCATAGTTTGTGAGTGAGAATGTGTAAAGCAAAGAACAGGGAACACAGACTACAGCGAACAATAGCAATCGGCTTTTAATATCGGAGCGACCGGAGTCAACAGCAGTCATCCCAAGGTATTTGCAGGACATGATCAGTGCCTCGGTGCCAATTTTTGTTGAGTGACAGGACCGTTCCGTGCCAAGTGACAGGACCAAGACCAAGTGACTGATTATTGATATGTAGATGTTGCTAGTTGTTTGTCCAGATTTGGTTTGGACACAGATTTACCGCCTGAGGTGTGGGAATTCAGCCGTCCAACTACACCTTGAGCATCATGGTAAAGCTCTTGGGTCGTGCAAAACGCTTGAATGAAGCACTGAAGCTGGCCAATGACTACCGCAAGGATAGGGATGGAAGTCCATAACCTCTGGTTTGTCGCTAACTGTCTGACCATCTCTAAGTCGGCCATAGTTGTCTTTGTTTCGATCAATTTTCGAACAAGTTTTGTGCAGCCACCAGCCATGTGGCACCAACGAAGTGCAGGAGTTCAACCTCAAGCTCAACGTGCAGGTCTTTACTTGCTTGATGCAAGCTTGCTTGCTGAACAAGAATCCTGGCCAATTCTAGCTGCATACACTTTACAAAGCGGGCAGTTCGAGAAGAGGGAGGCACAAAACTTGAGCAACTCAATTTCATGCATACGACCAGGACGAAACGTAAACTGAAATATGTCCACGAATCCATTTGAGACCATGGTGGACTGAGGAAAGTTCAGAAGGCACTTGACATCTACAAGGAGATGATTGGTGCCTGGGGCTATAACAAGCAAACAAATGGGTCCATTGTGCATCATTGTACACCAAGTTCGTCTGAACCTAAATTCATTGGTTGAATGTAAGGCCAGTTGAGGCAAACTACTCCAGGATGACTAGATAGCCTCCAAATCTCCTCGTAGGGTTCTTGGATTTGTTTGTCATGGAATGCCATGGATTTGTTCTAAATATGGGAACTTCCAACCACTTCCAGCTATTTTGCTCTAAGTCTGACATTTGAGCAGTGTCACTCCAACCAGACCTCAGTACATTCCTTTGGTTCATTTTCATTTGCCAGAGACATCGTTGTTGATATCGCTACATATTCTGATCATTGATGATCATTGATTATGAGAACACAAGTTTCTCCGTTGCTTTGTCTTTCATCAGGGGAGAGTCTGAGAATTCGCAGACCGCAGGAACTTGAGATGCTTCGGACCACAAACCGTTCAAACCTGTGAGGTGAGTTGGGTCGGCTGCCTGATCGCAAAGCTCACACTGTCTTGGTGGTTCCTTGGAGAAAAATTGGTCACAACCCACTCTCGTTTGACAGAATAGCCCTGGGTCCTACTAGAGTTCCTACTAGTATTAGTAGAGCGCAAACGTGTCATCCAGTCAAGCAGAATTGCAGTTTGTCGGACAGATTCATATACTTTCAGATAGTTCCTCGTTTACCCCATCAACCAACCAGTCGTTTGTGTACACATTCTTCATGCCAAGGAAGGGTGCCTCAATGCGGGTGCCTTTGAGCAGGCACTACAGGCAGGGTGACGCAAGAGGCAGATATTCAGTAGATACTCCGTGAGATCGCCTCAAAACGAAGAAGCATGTGTTGTTGTTTCAATGTGTTTCATGATGTTTCATGCTACGTTTTGACATGGGTGTTGATGTGTTTGTGGCAGATTAGTAGTAGTAGTAGTAGTAGTAGTCGTCGTGGTGGTGGTGGAGGAGGAGGAGGGGTACGAGTACGAGTACGAGTAGGAGTAGGAGGAGTAGTAGTAGTAGCAGTAGTGGTAGTAGTAGTGGTAGTGGTAGTGGTAGTCGTAGTTATAGTAGTAGTAGTAGTAGTAGTAGTAGTAGTAGTGGTAGTGGTAGTGGTAGTGGTAGTGGTAGTGGTAGTAGTAGTAGTAGTAGTCGTAGTCGTAGTAGGAGTAGCAGTAGCAGTAGCAGTAGCAGCTGTTGTTGCTGCTGCCGCTGTTGTTTCCCATCATATTTGCTGCGGTCTCGGTATCCAATCATATTCCTCACAAGAGCTTGGCAATGGCCAAGAAGGCGTCCCAGCCCAACAGAGCTGGAGAGTCTGAGGTGTGCCGCTGCGCCTACGGCTTCGGCTCGTTGGACACTCAGTGAGTGTTCGGCTCTTTTTTTGAAGCGATTGGAACTCAAAGCCACCGTGAATATGGAATGATATGGAATGTATTTACAACCCCTGCTTTGGACTGCTTTGGAAGGAATGATATGGAATGGTTGGAATATGTTGGAATGCTTAAGATGACAGTGTGCTTCTTTCACAGCCGCCAGCATGTTTGGTGTGTATCAAACTTCATCACTGAATTCCAGCTTGCACTGGGAAACTCAGTGGCTTGGCTTTGTTTACACAGATTATGAAGCAAAAATAGCTGCACTGTAGTGACCGGTCATACCACCAATTCTTCGGCCAAGCTTCGGCGATGGAAAGAATTCCGCTGACCCTTTAGTGACTGGGTTTCGAAGTAGGCTGACTTTGCTTGACTTGGTGTTTCTCCCCCGAACTGAGTGTGCAGACGTGCTGCGAGTCGCAGCGAGCACGAAACCACCGCGCGCGCTTCGCCGTTCAGTCCGGAGCTCGCCGTGCGGGGCGGAGTCACAGTAGGGAGGCTCAGAGGGTACCTGTGGAGTCGGCGTGCGCGAGCTGGGACCCAGTTTGTGGAGGTGCTTGTGGACTTGAAGGACTTGTGGAGGTGCCTGGAATCCATTGGATCTTCCGTCCGGCCTATGGCCTTTGTCCAACACTGGACACCAGGTAACACCAACTCGATTGAGAAGCCTAAAACATAATGAGGCAACACAAGGGAACGCATCAACAAAGCTGACTTGGCCAGAATCATTGCTTCCTGGCCTCACTTTGGTGCTGTTTAATGGAGGACCTTGGTTAGCGGCTAACCTTGGTCTTCCAGTTCCGGTTGGGTGTTACTTCTTGTTGTGGTCAGACTGCCTAGTGGGCGGCCCAAACCAGCTGCGGACGTGGCTTCGTTCGAGGTCGGTGTGGAGCCGAAGGCCCTGTCCGACTTGGCCAACAAGGCGGCGGATTGGAGAGGATTGGGACACCAAATTGGGACACCTAGATGGGGCAAACCTAGATGGGGCACCTGTGGATTGCAGCTGGCCTTTGATGCTGTATCCAAATCTTTCCCCAAGTGAGTTGATTCCTTCCTGAAGGGAAACCTGCAGAAATAGCTGGTGACCTGGTGTGTTCATTGGTGTAATTATAGGCTTATAAATGTGTTCTCCTCATTTTTGTCCACCAATCACCTGCAGGTCCTTCCCCGATATTTTCTCCATGTTTTTACTAAGTGTTCCACGTATACTGTGTATAATATACCTCGCGACCATCGCTCTTTGGCTCAAGAAAAAGGTGGGCGTTATTGGCTGATTTCCTGTAAACATAGGTTATCAGCCGTATGGCCTTAGGCCCGTAGTATTGCTCCCGCGTCATTCGCAGCCATGGACTTATCTCTGGATCCAGGGGCCCTCGCGAGGCTGGCTGCGCCGTACAATGGTGCGGATGGGCGTGAGAGCGCGGGTGGAAACCCCGCCGCTTTCCATCTACCGTTGATGGATCCGGGCGTCTCGTTCACACCAGACGGAGGATCCAACATGTCAACTGACGGAGGGGGAGCGGGTGGGAACACCGCGCCGGTGTTCAATCAGGCCAATTTTTCCTTTGTGAGCACGCCTCCGGCTGTACTCGCGGAGATGATGCGCCAGGCTTCGCAAAATCAGCAACTTGAGGGGCAACGAGCAGAACTAATGCTCGCAGCACAGAGACTCCGAAACGAGGCTGATGAAGCGTTCTCTGAAAATGAGGAGATGAGGGTCCAGGCGAAGTTATTCATCACCGCAGCCGAAGCTGGATATCAAACACTACAAGAGCAGGCTCAGACTCAGTTCGTGGAAATGTCCATGAATCACCGTCAGCATATCGCTGGAATCGAAATGATGCAGAGTCAGAAGGTCTCATCCCTCGAAATGAACTTGGCACAGCAACAACAAGCGTCTATGGATTTGCAAAGGCGGCTAACTGAGACGGAATCAATCCAGGCACAACTCCTGAAGGAACTTCGCGAAATGAAGCAACGGAAGGATGATGCGCCGGGCATTCCGGAAGGAGCTGCCGAACTTCGTGAGTCCATACCAATGCATGAGGCACCACCTGCAGGTTTGTCCCAGCACGATGATGTTAGATCATTTAGAACCGCTGAATTGTTCGGTACTTCATCCCTTAAGTCTCAACCCGGAAGCGTATTTTCCCCTAACGCTGCAGTTTTCCAACCGGTGAGTCCTTGGAATGATGGGTACGGGTCATTAGCAGCACATGCATTGTCGGGCAACTTCGGAAGGGGCGGGCCAGGTAATGGTGGTGGTGGACCGCCGGGAGGGGGAGGAGACAATCCTGGTGAAGGTCGTTCATCAGGTGACCCGATTCATCCTGGGCGTCCAGGCATTCCGCTTCTCAAGATTCCTAAGTCGGGGGGTGGACCACCTGGACCTCCGGGGGATGACAGCGATCCAGACGGAGGAGATGAGTTTGACGATGATGACGATGAATTGACAGACAAGGCTCTTATGAGGAAGCTTAAACAAGTTTTGGGGGGAAAAAGCAGTACCACGAAGGAAGCTGACCACATCAAGATACCTTCCTTTCCACAGCCTGAGAACTATCGCAACTGAAAAATCAGGGTGAGGGATGCGGTAAGGGCCGCCCGCGTCTTCCAAGCCCGATAAAGCATTCTCGTGGATCAATAAGGTATGGATTGAAGGTCAAACCATTGAAGGTCTGGCAAGTCCTGACGGGTTTACTACCCTCGACGCCAAGCTTCTTGCCGCACTGTCGTCCGTCGCCACAGGTGAGTTCGCTCGCAAGGTGGACACATTCAAGGAGAAAGAATCCCAGAAAGATCGTCCGGTACGGGGGAGACAGGTGTTGCTGATGATGCATGAGTATTTCAGCACAAACATCAAGCATGGTGCCACCTATTCCCTCAGTGATCTGTTCAACGTGTTTATCGAATTGGGATTCAGTTACCACCGGTGTTACCCATTTGCCTGAAACTACTGTCCTGGAAACTCTATTCTACCAACAAGTGAAGAATCACAGGGCAATCGCCCATGACATTGAGGAGTACCACCGGGCCGAAGAGGGAAGTTCAAAGCACTGCTATCAATTCCTGTATGACGCTGTTCGCAGACATCTCATGAGGGAAAGGCTAGAGGACAATCGGGGACGGATTGCCGCTAGTGTTGGAGGTGCCAAGACGTCCGCCCCTGCTGCCGACGCGCGCACACCGTTCATCCCCAGGGGGTTTTGTGTTCAGTGGAACAAAGGGGGTTGTAGCAAGGAGAACTGCCCATTCAAGCATGAAGTTCCTAAGAAACGGGAGAAGAGTGCCACCAAGAGTCCTAGGGGGCGCTCCCAGTCAAGAGGAAAGGAGAAAAGGGACACCTCCAAGATTGCATGCAAGTTTTGGAAGGCTGGACGCTGTAAGCGAGGGGACAAGTGTGAATTCTCCCATGAAGGTCAGCAACGACCCAGGAAGGCAACTCCTGCAAGATCGCCCTCACGAGATTCTCAGAAGAGTGACAAGAGCAAGAAAGACAAACGTCGAAAGAAGAAGGGAGACCGATCTCAGTCGAGGGGCTCCAGTGGTTCGCGTAAGTCTGGAGGCTCTAGGTCCTCAAAGGGTTCTCGTGGTTCGAGGGGCAGCGCAGGCAAGTCCACTCCCGCAGCAGTTTGTCTGGTTGCATCGATGCTCGCATCCGTCGTCGATGGCCTCTCATTGAGCGGCCCAACATCCATGTTGGACCAGATTGGAATCAACTTCAATGAGAGCCAGGCGGCCTGGGAAGGCGAGCCACACATTGCATGTCCAGGGGTGTCATTTAACCTCAAGCCCGATATCACAAGGATTCATGCATGGGGCAGACTTGATCCTTTTGTTTCGGAACCATCTAAACCGAAGAAGACTTTCCCAGCAAGCTATCAGACCAAGCCTAACGTTCAAGCAGTTGATGATTCGATCTTGACAGCACGCATGCTTCAGGGAGCAGTGTCCGGTTGGCTGAAGGGTATCAAAACAGACTGTACGTACATGTGTGATTCAGACCTAGGTTGTGACTCGTGCATTCCTGCTGATATTGTTGCTTTGCCCGCGTCCTCTCCGAGGGAAGTCAAATACTTCCACCATTCGCATGAGGACTGGATCGCAGACACCGGAAGCGCTCAGGACCTGTTGACCCGACATGACATCCCTGATGAATTCCAATATCGATCGGACCGGCCGATTGCTATCATCACAGCTAATGGTCATAGTTCGTCGAACCTTCAGGCCAAGGTGTATAACGACACATTGAGTTGTAGGTTTGATCCGTATTTGCTCGAGTCGACACCACCGGTCATGTCTGTCGGAATGAGATGCGTTGATCAAGGTTATGATTTCATTTGGAGATCCGGCAAACCACCCTATTTCAGGAAGCCGGACGGAGAAAAGATAGAGCTTGTGGTCAGGGATTACGCCCCCTACATTCCTGCCAGGGCCAAGTCAAATGCCAATCCGTGCGCTCCCAATCCAATCGATCGGCCCCGCTCGACTTCGTCTTCCTCATTGGCTCCAACGTCTCTTCATCCCATAGCTCCTGGACGTGGTACAGCTGTTCCTGCTGAACCGGCATCGGCCTCGGGTGATGACGGGATGAATGTGTTGAAAGAGAGCCCAGAGAAGGATGAAGCGGGCCGGAAGGCTACGCCGGAGAAAGAGAAAGAAGCACCGAAGGGCAGTGCGGACCGGAAGGTCTCGCCGATGGATGATGTTGATGATGGTGTTCTGCAGGTACCTGCCGAAGGCAACTTGGACAGGAATCTGGGAAAGGGGATATCATTGTTGAAGAAAGAGGCCAAATCACTTGGGCATCTGGTGAGCCATCACCCCAAAAACCCATATTGTGACGCTTGCAACAAAGCAAAAATGACTAAGCCTCCATCATATCGGCAAGACGGGTCCTCAATAGTTGAAGCCAAGAAGTTCGGTGATCATATTACATGTGATTTTCTCATAACCGGTGATGAATATGAAATGGGGATCGATGAAGAGAAGTGTGCATTGATTGTCAAAGACATATATTCCAACTTCATGTACGTGTACCCCAGTGCTAGAAAGAGTGCCGAATCAGTCATTCTGGCTATGAAACACTTTGTTTCGAATGAAGATGAAGTGGGAATTTGTTATTCCGACAACGCTCCTGAATTGATCAATGCCATGAAAGAGCTGAAGTGGAGACATGTACTATCAAAGGCATACATATCCGCCAGCAATGCCGTTGCGGAAAGGTCGATCCGAACCGTGCTTGAAGGAACTTGTGTGAACCTCTTGCAATCCGGTCTCAACCACGGATTCTGGCCTTATGCTGCTCGTCACTGGTGTGTCATGAACAACAATTTGTATGCTCTAGATGGAACTGCTTCTCCATGGGAGCTGAGATTCGGGGAACAATCACCCATTAAGGGTTGGCCTTTTGGATGCATGGTGAACTACTGGAATGGTCCCAAAAAGAAACCCAAAGATGAGCTGAGGTTCGATCCCACATCAAGTGCAGGGGTCTTCGTTGGTTACATCGTTCACCCAGGGTTTCAATGGAGGACAGAATATTTCGTAGTTGATCTCAAGTCGGCCAAAGCAGATAAGTACGAGGATATGCATCAGATCAAAAGAGTCATTCGCATCGACGTACCTGAACCGTTCACCTTCCCACTGAAGGATCGCAAGGAAATGGTTCGCAGAGGAGAGATCACTGACGCGGCCGAAGAGGAAGTCGAAACAGTCCTTGAAGTCCAAGATGCTGTCGAGAGTGCCGTCCCAAACCCAAAGGCGGAAACACTTGAGAAATCAGACACCACTCTTCCGAAGGGACCAGTTCTCCGAGGATCCGGTGCCCGAGCAGTCTGGAATCAGGGCTGGTTAGCTTTCATCGGAAGCGGAATCAGTGATGGATGGTGTGACTACGCCGAATGTAAGGTCAAGTACAGC